CACTCCCTCCCCCCCACCCTTTCCCCCACAACAGACTTACCAGCCGGATGTGGTTCCCCATGCTACAGGGCTGCATATCAAAATCAGATTGGTATTGGCCAATATGACTCTTTAAAAATCGGCCATCGGTATCAGCACAAAAAAAATCTCTTATCAGTACATCCCCAATGATGCCTAGCAGTTCTGCAGTCGCATCAGCCAACTCCGTCAGCAGCCTTGGGTGCATCCTGTCCCGCCCCATCGACATGTGTATGTTCAGCTGTACTAACTAGCCCCTAACCTGTTCTTTCGCTGCTGTTGGCTGCTCACTTCCTCCCCAAACTGTGCTGCCAGGTGCACTAGTCTGGGAGCTGACCTTGCCTGTGAAGACTGAAGTGAAAAATGCATTGAGCACTTCTGCCTTTTCTGTATCCTCTGTCACTAGGTTTCTTCCCCTATTCAGTAAGAGACCCACGCTTTCCCTGATCCTCCTTTTGTTACTGAAATAGTTGTAGAAACCCTTCTTGTTACCCTTCATGTTCCTTGCTTAGCTGCAACGTCAGTTGCTCTTTGGCCTTCCTGACTTCATCCCTGCATACCCGAGCAATGCTCTTATACTCCTCCCTAGAAGTTTGTCCAAGTTTCCACTTCTTATAAGCTTCCTTTTTATGATTAAGTTTACTGAAGAGTTCCCTGCCAAGCCAAGCTGGTCTTTTGCCATACTTGCTAATCTTCCTGCAGATCAGGATGATTTGTTCCTGTGTTCTCAGTAAGGCTTTTTTCAAGTACAGTAAGCAATCCTGGACTCCTCTCCCCATCAGTCTGGCTTCCCAGGAGATCCTGCCCATGAGTTCCCTGAGCGAGTTGAAGTCTGTATTTCCGAAATCCAGGGTCCTTACTCTGCGGCTCTCCTTTCTTCCCTCAGGATCCTGAATTCTATCACCTCATGATCACTGCTGCCCTAGTTGCCACTACTGTTTCCTACCAGTTTTTCCCTGTTTGTGAACAGCAGGTGAAGAAGAGCAGGGCCCTTAATTGGCCTCGCCAACACTTTCATCAGGAAGTTGTCCCCAACGCTCTCCAGAAACTTCCTGGATTGCCTGGGCACTGCTGTATTGCACTCCCAGCAGATGTCAGGGTGATTGAAGTCCCCCAGGAGAACCAGGCCCTGTAATTGGGAAACTTCCACTGTCTGTTTGCAGAAAGCCTCATTGACTATGTCCTCATCTGGTGGTCTGTAACAGGGCTCCATCATGACATCACCCTTGTTGCTCTCCCCTTTAACCTTAACCCAGAGACTTTTGACAGGTCTATCTTGTTTCATACTGGAGCTCTGAGCAAGCATATGGCTCTTTTACACAAAGCACAGCTCCCCTTCTCCTCTGCCTGTCCTTCCTGAACAGTTTATACCCATCCATGACAGTGCTCCAGTCATGTCAGCTATCCCACTAAATCTCTGTTATTCCAATCACGTCATAGTTCTATGACTGCAGGGCTTCCAATTCTTCCTGCTTGTTTCCCAGGCTCCATGCATTCATGTACACACACCTGAAGTAACTAGTTAATTCTCCTGATTTCTCAGAAAGTATGACGGCATGTTCCTTGCTGCCCCCTCCTGCTTGCTCTTCCTCCAGGTCACCCTGTTACACAAATCGCCAATTGCTGAAATCATGAGCGAGACTTTATAAAGGGGGACAAGGCAAGGTGCCGCGTTTATTGATTACATGAGTTAGACGTAGAGGTTCAGGCACACCATTCATATAAACACACACAAATCATCATACACATCATTACACGCAGGCATACACATACACAAAACAACCATTTCATCCACACATAAACCAGATATAGTTACCAGCAGTAGTTGCTCAATATCAGCCCAGGGTGGCCAACCCAGGCTTACTGAGTAGATGACGATGATTTGAAGACAGCCGATTTTAAGATAACAGCTGGAGCTGGGTGAACAGATGAAACAGCAGTAGAGCAAGAGACTCACCCAACTTGGCATTTTCAAAGTGTTCTTTTATAGGGATTGGCAGCCTTTATTTCAGTACTTTGGGGTTTTTCCATACCCAGCTTCTGTTTTTGTGGTTGTTCTTTTGTCTTCAATTTATCTTAGCCTTGGAGTATTCTCGTTGCCCATCTGGCAGAATATCTTCTTCTGTTATTTTCTTTGTGCCCTTGAGCTTCAAAGGGATTCTTCAGCCATTCGTTAATTAGTTTACTGACTGGTAACTTACATTTGACGCCTTGTTGCTTACATAAACAGTTGAATCTTCTTCTCCCGTCTCTATGCCATTCTCTCACCATTCACCCTTTTACACACACTCAGACATAAAGGCTATGCAGAGTTCATTCACTTACGTCAAGCAGAAGGATACAAAATGGAGTTTTCAAGTTGCTTACAGGACAAGACTAACATGGTTATATTTTACTATTATTACACTTTATATTAACATTAGCTACATTAGTTCAGTTCATGATACATGCCCCCGCTTTGACCCTTCAAACATCAATGATGAATGGGTCATAAACTACATTTGTCTGATAAGATATTTTATTTTCAATTGCAGTTCTTAAAGTTTTGGATGCATTGATTTTATTCAACAACACATATAACACATGACAAGAAATAAACTTTTCATTATGAAAAATAAATTTATTATTATGGGGTACAGCATGATATTAAGAATAGCCGTCCCTGAAGGAGCCTATTCTATGAAGATGTCATACCAATGATATGCTAACATTTGTTTGGCTTGTTCTGAAACTTTCAGGATTTCTTTACCTAGATGCAATATAGAAATACTGGGCACTTACGCGTGATTAATTGGGTTCTTTGCAAAGTCTGCATCAGAAGGTTAAGCAGGGTTGTCTAACTGACTTCTATGGAAACATTAAAATTTAGCAAATTATCTTTTATACTTATATCTTGAATTATTTGTTTTGTGAAATAATACGTGAAAAGTGGAGTTTGACTAACAGTGACATTACACATACATTGCTGCATGGGAGGAAATGAAGAATTTTTCCCTTGTCAAATAATTTGTTTGAGTTCTACCACACACACAATTCATTTAATGAAAATACAGTTCGGTTGTGCTATTATCCAATTCATCTCAATAACATGTGGATAGTCTGTTGCTCTGGAATAAGCAGGATTCTTCCAAAAGTGGCAATGTGGGACATATCCATTGATTATCAGTCCATTTACTACACATAAGATGATCAACAATTTGGTTTTGGTCATTCAAATATTTGCTAATTAAATGGGGGATCGAAATGTGCTTTCTTTGAACAAACGGGAGGGTTATGGATGACCATAATATCTCTGGGTGTATTTGGTAATGCTTGAACTATCTGCACACTTAAAAGACCAGTTAGAGAGGTTACACACATTTTCAAAATTAAGGGTTTACTTAACAAAGCAAAAAACAAACAATGAGCAAAGCAACATCAAAATATTATGACACACAAATATATTAAAAATAGAAAAACACAACAACAAACACAAATTAACACTTGTTTTCCTTTATCGGTGTTTAACAGCTACTCGTCTTTTAGTCGATTGGTGTTATTGGCATTCTGTGGCTTTTAAATAAATTTAATACATTAAATTTCATACACCAGTGAATAACTTTAACTTATTTTGTACTTATTTTGATTTTTTTCCAATTGTATTTTATATACCACTGTACCAAGATGGTTAATGATCCTCTCTAGTCCAATTCACTTGGAATCCAAAATATGTTTCTCTACTTCTTTATGTAAATACTGTTGTGCTAGGTTTATCAACTTTTCCTGTAAAACAATGGGTTAATGCAGATTTTACACACATCCTGTTATGTTGGTGTCATAAACAGTATCTAAATACAAATGAGATTTCCTTTATAGCCTTAAAAAAATTTATCAGGTTATTTACTAAACACACACATATTACTTTTTTTACTAAATGCCATTTTGCTGAACAAGTAAACTTTACAACTTAAAACTTTTATATGAATTGCTGTTTTTTGTTTCAAAGATTAGAACAACTTTCCAGTCCAACTGGACGGAAGTGTTCTGGTTTGGGATCCACAGACAGACGTAATTTTTAGAGAGAATATTACTAATAATGTTTATTACATCTTTATGATATATACATTTAAATTTTGCCAACTTAAACTAATCCATTAAGTAAACAAAAGCAACACAACAGGACAAACAACACAAAACAGAAAGACAAAACAATTTTGCTGTGATGATGAAACCATGGCTTAGGAGACGAAAACACTGTTGATGGCCTCGTAGTTCTTTTAGTCATCTTTGCTACTAGACTATAGCTTCTGCAAAAGAGAGAGGAAAGAAAAACAAAAAAAACACGCACCAACCTGCCAAGGAAAACTCATTGCAGTAAAATATTATTCATATTTACACATTTATAGTGCTGATGTGTACCAAGTTTTTATAAACACCTTTTTTTTCTTTTTGCCTTAACAAGTTGTTAACACTTTCCTTTCTAGAAGATTTACACTATTTTTGAAAAGTGAGGGGAGGTTCAGAAAACCCCAAACATTTCTCACCTTCTTACTAATGAGATTGCAGATACTTATTTCTAGCAGTTTTTCTACTTTCAATACACACACAGCAAACATACAACACTCCTTTTTATTGGACCAGCGATAGACATTGTTGTACTTAGTCTAAACAGACCACAACATCACCTCAGGCACTCTGAGACCAGGACCTAACTTTCTGTTTTTAAAGCAACTGTATCTTTTTCACCAGCTTTAAAGCAGTTATTTTTAAAATTACATTATCACTCTTTTCTTCTATCTGTTCCAACATTTAAACTCTGTTAATTTGTTTTCCTTCCTTTCTTCCTAAACACTTTCCACATCTCTCTCTCTGTAACAGCTGCCTCCCAGCTCGTTTTTCTACTTTCCTCTATTGTTTTTCTTTGCCCTTTACTAAAGGTTTTTCTGTTGAGGTATGCCCCCCCAGCCTTTTCCCAATTAAGGGTAACCCACAAGGTGGTGGAAGCTAGGCTATTAAGGTGCCCTATATTTGCCCCTGCCCATTCCCCAGGGTGATTATTATGTGGCATTTTGCAGAGACTACCCCGCTACGGGTAGCTCCGCACACTGACCACACCCAGGAGGGTGGCAGTTTCAGGTCATACCGGGACCAAACTTTCTACTCTCCTGCTATGGTCTTCTGTAATCCTCATGGGCACACCTTCTCACTTTTGGGCTTCTTGGCCCCTCCTTGGGCCAGCTGAGATTGCAGGCTCCTGGCTCTGGCAGCTCTAACAGTGATCTTTTCTTTGTGCCCCTTCTCTGGACTGCCAGATCACTTGGTCTTTGAGGGCCCTGCAGACCCCTCTCAGATTTCTCTCTCTCTCTTTCTCACTTGGCTCTCCTCAGAGCCCCTGGACTCCATCCAGCTTTGTTCTCTCCTGATCTAACCCCTTCTGGACTCCAAGTCACTGACTCTGCCTCGCACATATTTCAGACCGAGTTCCTGGCTTTTTATGCTTTCACTAACTCTGGCTGGGCTCTGGTCTTTAGCACCCACTCTCAATTCCTCTCTGTGCTCTGTGAGTCTGTGCTCAAACACTTTTAGAGGTCTCTCATTTTTCAGCAGGTCTCTGGATCTAGCAATTCTTTTTCAACTCCGGTGGCAATACTTGCTCCAGCTGATCTTTCTCTCTAGCAGCTCCCTAGAATCCCAGCACTTCCTTTTTTTTTAGATCTTACCTGACTTTTAATTTTCCTTTCATTAACAGATCTTAACCCTTTCTAGGCTACAGGCTTCACAATTCGATTTCATCAGTGGCCCTTTCTTGCCTTGCTCTCTGTAAACCAATCCATCCAGGAAATCTTGATTTCTCTCTTTCTTTCTTACAGCTGCACACTCTGTGCTGGCCTTGCCTTCTACAAACCAAAAACAATTTCTTGTCTCTTTTTCTCAAAGACACCCAGTCCAATAAGCTCTATTCTATCTCCCTCCAAAAGACCACGGGCAATGAATTGCACACTACACACAATTCCTTCAGAAAACTTTTCCTACCTTAAAAAGGAACTTCAACCTATGCCTCTGCAGAGAAAAAACAAAACATGCCTCTGACAAGCTCACTCCTCTTTCCCTGCCCAGAGTAACACAAAGTAATTCTGGGCACGGACCTCTGTTTACACAGCTGTACCATGATGTTTCCCAAAACAAGCCATTATGCTCCTGTAACAGTCTCTATCTCTTCTAGGCCCTTCGCTGTTCTTGGAGAGGGGGTGGGGGAGAACCAAGTTTCCCCTCACTTCCAATCACAAATTCTCTGCCACTGCCTGAGCTGATGTCCAGTAACATACCCTGTCTCTTTCTGTGCTACTGGTTGCCTCTTTTTCTTTTTATTCCTGGCACACAGGATCCCAAAGTATCTGTCTTACATTTCTTTAAACGTTTTTAATCTCTTTGAAGCTCCACTGCTTGCATAACACTTTACTTTGCCATAACTTGCACGTGTAACTTACACCTTACAAACTTCACAGAAAACACACAACTGCTCTTGTAACTATCCATAAAAGACTAACCTTTCCCAAGGACCCCATTCATTCACACAGCCTTTCCAGCAGAGAGATGACTTTCTCTGCTCTTTCTTAGCTTTGTATTGCAAACACAACAGGAGGTTCTTACTTAATCCCAAGTGGACCACAGCATGTACTCATGTCCACTACTCTGCCTGACCCAGACAGACAAAGTTTTCTGGTCAGCAGTAACAAACCATCTTTCCTGCAGAAAACTTACAACCTTATGCACAATTACCATACAACTTTACCTTACTACAAATTTTAGCTAACCCCTTTAAAATGCCTCCTACCAGTTCGACGGTGGAACAGATTTTGAATAGCCTCCCATAAGCACCACATTGCTGTAGCCTTCCTTTTCATGGAGTGTGCTGGTATATTATATCTCTGCATATAGTTCTTAAATTTGTCTTCTAAGTCTGCAGTGGTATATGCATCAGATACTGCCTGCTTGGTCCAAGGACTATGTCCAAACCACTGCAGCACTTGTTTTAAAAGACTCATATCTTGCAGATATGTAGGCAGGGGATTTCTGACATCTTTCACATCTGCCTCACTCTTTACCGTTTTTCTTTTGAACATTTTAACTTCCGTCTCCTGTATTTTTCTTGCTGCTTAGTTACTGTTCATTACTACTCAAATCCAGTATACAACTCCGTAAAAATGTGCCAAAAAGTCCGATTTCCAAGATAACCAAGTCTGAAAACAAAACTCAAAACCAAAGCAATGGACCCCTCTCCTATAGGTGGTCCAGACTATCCTGGTAGTCTTTAACCCACAAAATAAGCTTCTTAATTATCCACAACTCACAAGGTGAGCTTTCCAAGTTAAACAACTTGTCCAAGTATCCAAGTATTCCTCTATTTTTCTAAGTGGTCAGTCTAACCCAAGACCACTATACCCGGCACTTCTACCACCGGGCGATGTGCACACCTTCAGATAGACAGACAAACATATATACAGACAAAACTTAGTATACAGATAACACACAACTGATCAAAAACTGCAACATAGAACCTTATTCACCCCCACATGCATTCTCCACCAAAATGCTACACAAATCGCCAACTGCTCAAATCACGAGCGAGACTTTATAAAGGGGGACAAGGCAAGGTGCCGTGTTTATTGATTACATGAGTTAGACGTAGAGGTTCAGGCACACCATTCATATAAACACACACAAATCATCATACACATCATTACACGCAGGCATACACATACACAAAACAACCATTTCATCCACACATACACCAGATATAGTTACCAGCAGTAGTTGCTCAATATCAGCCCAGGGTGGCCAACCCAGGCTTACTGAGTAGATGATGATGATTTGAAGATAACAGATTTTAAGATAACAGCTGGAGCAGGGTGAACAGATGAAACAGCAGTAAAGAAAGAGACTCACCCAACTTGGCATTTTCAAAGTGTTCTTTTATAGGGATTGGCATCCTTTGTTTCAGTGCTTTGGGGTTTTTCCATACCCAGCTTCTGTTTTTGCGGTTGTTCTTTTGTCTTCAATTTATCTTAGCCTTGGAGTATTCTTGTTGCCCGTCTGGCAGAATATCTTCTTCTGTTATTTTCTTTGTGCCCTCGAGCTTCAAAGGGATTCTTCAGCCATTCATTAATTAGTTTACTGACTGGTAACTTACATTTGACGCCTTGTTGCTTACATAAACAGTTGAATCTTCTTCTCCCGTCTCTATGCCATTCTCTCACCATTCACCCTTTTACGCACACTCATACATAAAAGCTATGCAGAGTTCATTCATTTACGTCAAGCAGAAGGATACAAAATGGAGTTTTCAAGTTGCTTACAGGACAAGACTAACATGGTTATATTTTACTATTATTATACTTTATGTTAACGTTAGCTACATTAGTTCACTTCATGCTACAACCCACTTCCCCACTTACTGCAGCGCTTTGGTCTCCTTCCCCCAGTGAACATAGTTTAAAGCCCTCCTCACTAGGTTAGTGAGCCTGCCTGTGAAGATGCTTTTCCCTTTCTTCATCAGGTGGATCCCATGTCTTCCTAGCAATCCTTCTTTGAATATCATCCCATGGTCAAAGAAGCCAAATCCCTGCTGGTGACACCACCTGTGCAACCAGGCACTGATCTGCAGGGTGCACTTGCTCCCACCCGGGCCCTTTCCCTTGACTGGAAGAATTGGAGAGAACACCACCTGAGCCCCCATCCTCTTCACCCTTGCACCCAGAGCCCTGTAGCCACTTTTGATCTGC